TGCACACATATGCATGTACCATAGAGAGAATATAGTGCAATGCGTTACTTCTCAGGGCATCTGTCTCTGAATGGCTGGCTTAGCAAGATGAGCATAATTAAAGCTAATGATTGGTAGATAGTTCTCAAGTGTTCATCAAAGGACCAGACCAATTTGCATTAAAAATTGACTGTATCTACTTATTTATTTTGCATGTATGTTATAATATAGTCTCACTAGATTTAGGAAAATATTTATGATTTAAAAATATTTTTGAGCCAGATGTGGTGGCACAGGACTGTAATCCCAGTACTTGGGAGGTGGAGGCAGGAGGATCAGTTTTTTGGCTAGAACTGTACGAGGACAAACAAGCAAACAAAACAAAAAGGGCCTGGGAAGGGGGCTCAATCAGTAGAAGGCTTGCCTTGCAAGCATGAGTACTAGGATTTGAGCTCCAGAACTCATGTAAAACAAACAAGCAAGCCCCCCAACCTGGGTGTGGAGCCTGCACAGGTTCAAGCCAGCTGGGGGCCCAGCCCTGGGAGGGAAAGTGAACAAGGGCTCCCAACCCTTAACTATCTGCAACTGGTACTCACTGGCAAAGGAAAAATTAGTTTTCTTCAATGGTGCCTCACTGAGCATGTTAACCCCAGTTCAGAGCAGGCGCCACATGCAGAAGTAGACGGCCAGCATAAAATGAACTCAATGGTATTTTTGTAGACTTTGTCTCATATTGCTTTGTTTGGGCATTTTTTTTTTTTTTGTTCCCTTGGTCTTTTGCTTGTAAATTTTGGTTTACGTGATTATTATTATTATTATTATTATTATTATTATTATTATTACTATTGTATGTGTGTTGTGTGTGTTTTTTATTTTTTGTTTTTGTTTGTTTTTTAAAGAGAGGGAAAGGAGAGGCTGGAGAGATGGTTCAGCGGTTAAGAGCACTGGTTGCTTTTCCAGACAGGATCTAGGTTCAATTTCCAGCACCCACATGGCAGCTCACAACTCTCTATAACTCAAGTTCCAGTGGATCCAACTCTCTCACAAAGACATGCAGGTCAAACACCAATGTATATAAAAAAATAAAGAGAGAGAAAGGGCATGGAGTTGGGTGGGTAGGGAGTCTCTGAGGGGAGTTGGGGGGAGAAAAATGTGTGATCAGGATATATTTTATGAATTTCTTTCAATTAAAAAATAAAATAAAATTTTAAAATTAAAAGAATTATTTTTTATTTTTTTATTTTTTTGGTATTTCAAGACAGGGTTTCTCTGTGTAGCCCAGGCTGTCCTAGAACTTGCTCTGTAGACCAGGCTGGCCTTGAACTCAGAGAGATCCTTCTGCCTCTGCCTCCTTGCTGGGATTAAAGACATGTGCCACCACTGCCCAACTAAAATAAATATTAAAAAAATACCCTGGACATGGTGGGGTGTGTTTGTGATCCCAGTATTGGGAGACAGAGATGTGCAGATCCTTAGGGCCTGTAGGCCAGCCAGGCTAGCCTGTGTGGTGAGTTACAGACCAGAAAGAGAGCCTGTCTCAAAAAACAAGGTGGATAACTCCTGAGGAATGACAGCTGAAGTTGACCTCTAACCTCTACATGCAAGCACACACCTGCATCTATGCACCCATGAACATTCCATACCTCCCCAATATTTGTAGTTTGTAGAGGTAGGTTGGTTAAGAATTGCCTTAGACTACTAATAACCAAGCAGACATTTTTTAAAGATTTATTTATTTATTTATTTATTTATTTATTTATTTATTTATTTATTTATTTATTTATTTATACAGTGTTCTGCCTGCATGTGTCCCTGCAGGCCAGAAGAGGGCGCCAGATCTCATTACAGATGGTTGTGAGCCACCATGTGGTTGCTGGGAATTGAACTCAGGACCTCTGGAAGAGCAGTCAGTGCTCTTAACCTCTGAGCCATCTCTCCAGCCCCCCAAGCAGACATTTTAATGGCATAAAACCAGGTGTGTTTATTCTCTTTCCCACAAAAGCAGTTCAGGATTAAGCCTCTCTGCGTGCCCAGTGTTGCCCTTCCCCTTTCTCAGCTGCGTCTCTGCAGGGACCCTGGCTGCAGTGAGGCAGGAAGGAATGGGTGTGGAGCAGAAAGCTCTCACTGAGGCTTTCTGAGCTGCGGAGAGGACATGGAGTGGGTTCCCATGGTGCTTTAAGAGTTGCAATATTTCTTCTAGCCAAGAGGACATTGAGAAGTCACATGAATTCTGGGATGAGAACTACCTGAGGACATGAAGCGCACACACACACACACACACACACACACACACACACACACACACATGAATGCATGCATGCATACACAGATACTCATGGACACACACACAACACTCTTTAATTTTTTTAAAGATTTATTTATTTTATGTGGGTGAGTGTTTTGCCTGCATGTATGTATGTGCACCACACGCATGTCTAGTGTGTGGAGCAGTCTGAAAGGGCATTGGATCCCCTGGAACTGGAGGTATATGGATGGTTGTGAGCTGCCATATGGGTGTAGGGAACTGAACCTGGGTCTGCAGCAAGAGCAGTCAGTGCTCTTTTTTCTCTCTTTCTTCTTCGAGACAGGGTTTCTCTGTGTAGTTTTGGTGCCTGTCCTGGATCTTGCCTCAAACTCACAGAGATCTGCCTGGCTCTGCCTCCCGAGTGCTGGGATTAAAGGCCTGCGCCACCACTGCCTGGCTCGCAGCCAGTGCTCTTAACCAACCCTGAGCCTTGTCTCCAGCCTCCCTTTCTAATTTTTTTGACCATTGCATACTTGCACACATTGAGTTATGATTGTATTTATTCTGTATTATCTGCCCCTTCCCATCTCCTACTTGCACTCTCTACCTTCTTCTACCTTCCTCTTCCTAGTTAGTCCCTTTGGTACTTTCATCTCTCTCTTTCTCTTGCGATCACGCGCAGTGTGTGTGTGTGTGTGTGTGTGTGTGTGTGTGTGTGTGTGTGTGTAAGCCTTGAGCAGGTAACCATGAGTTCATGATTGCCATGTCATGTCCAGCAGACAGCATTTCTTAGTGTTCCTCTCTATCCTCTGACTCCTACAATCTTTCTTCCCCTCTTCTGAGGAGTTCCCTGGGGTTTGGAGGAGACCATATAGATGGCCTACTTAGGGCTGAGCACTCAAAACTCACTTCTCTGGGCACTTTGAATAGTCAAGAGTCTCTGTGTAATCATCTTTCACAGCAAAAAGAAACTTCTCTGACCTAGGGTAGCACTACTCTGTGGGTATAAACATAAGCAACTGTTTTTTTCCCTTTTATTGAAAATAGATGCTTGCCAGGCAGCGGTGGCACACGCCTTTAATCCCAGCACCTGGGAGACAGAGGCAGGTGGATCTCTGTAAGTTCGAGGCCAGCCTGGTCTACAGGGTGAGTTCCAGGACGGCCAGGCTACACAGAGAAACCCTGTCTTGAAAAAAACAAAGAAACAAAACAAAACAAAAAACCAAACAGCCAAGCAAAAAAGAAAGCAGATTCCTTTCTCGTACCATGCATCCCAATTCTAGTTTCCCACCTTGCACTCCACCCCACCTCCCTCCTCTGATTCACTCCCTTTCTGTCTCATTAAAAAAGACAGGCTTCTAAGAGATAACAACCAAAATGACAAAATAAAATACAACAATATGAAGCAAAACTCATCCCACTGAAGCCGGACAAGGCAACCCAACAGAAGGGAAAGCACCCCAAGAACAGGCACAAGAATTAGAGACCCATTAGCTCACACAGAAGTCCCATAAAAACACAAAGCTGAAAGCTGTAATATATAAGCGGAGGACCTAGTACAGATCCATGTCATAGACATAAACAATTATGAAACAGACTGACAGCATGTCTGGTTAGCAAAACATCACTAGTAGGTTTCCTTCTACGGCCTACGACCTCCCCATGCATAGACTTTTGAACACTCTTATATGGGTAAACTTACCCTTCGGGTGCTTTGGACACACTTTCGGTTTTGAGTGAGTGAATTTATTAAGCCCATAGAAAGACAATGTTAATGGAAAGTGATAGGGTGACAGAGAACACCATCAAATTGGGGCGTACAAACATCCAGCAGGAAATGACTGGGGAGAGGCAGTCAGCTGGGGTTTCCCACAGAGAGATTCGTGGGTAGAGCAGGGTGTCCTCTGGCAAAGGTTCTAAATAAAAGAACAACCCTACACAAAGAACTACAGGCAGCTGGGTGAAGCCGAGAGAGGCGGTCATTCCCAGGGAAGAGCATTCCCATTGTTCAGTGCCCAATTGGGGTCAGCCCTAAAAATCATAATACTAGTCCATGATTATGTGGACTCAACAGGTTATATTTAGCAATATATATGTATGTACAAAAAACTGACGTACATGCAATAGCAATTGGTGAAGAAAAAAGTCCATGAATTTGAAGGAGAAGCGGAGGGGCATATGGGAGGGTATGGAGGGAGAAGAGAAGGGAGAAATGTTGTAATTAAAATAAAATCTCAAAAAGAAAAAAATAAAAGAAAAAGAAAAAATAGAGAACAATTAATAGACAGAAGTAGCATCATCAGATTGGGCGCTCACAAGATCCAGCAGAAACTGACTGGGGAAGTCGAAGCAGTCATTTGGAGTTCTTTGTTTTGCTTTCTCTCCAATGGCTGAGCTCCCCGTGTCTGAGCGATCAGCTCTCCTCGATTCTAGGTAGTTTTGTATTATGGGATACACGGTGGTAACCTCTGCTGTATTTCCCAACAGTTCGTTTTCCATCTAGCTGTTCTCAAGGATATAATGCTTTTATTCTTTGGCTGTCTGTTGATCCCTTCCCTCCCTGTCACAGAGTCTGGGAGGCAGCCCATCTCTAGACAAAGGGCTTTGGAGGACAGGGAAACAAACACACTTGGGCCTGAGACTGGAGAGGACAGCTTCACTTCCGGAGCCAGCTTCTCAGTGAGCTCAAACATCCCAAGACAATTAACCAATATAATGCACATAATAAACCTTCACTCTTGTTTCAGATGACCTCAAAGATCCCCATCCCCATTCACTTAGAGAATACATCCCGTACCATGAACACCAGAGTCATTCTCCAGGCCTCATGCCTGGAGGGCCGGGTCCTTCAATTGAAATTCTTTTACACTGGAGCGGGGAGCCTGCTGGGAAAGAACAAGAGAAGGAGAAAGAGTGGGAGGCTGCAGGAGGCAGGGCCATCCCAAGAGCCTGGACCCTGAAGGCTCCAGTGTGAGGATTCCTTTTGGCTTCTTTCCTCTCTGGTCGCTGCCCGGCAAGCACTGGTAAGTTCACCGGCAGAGAGTAGCTTTTCTGGCTGAGATTATTCTGGGCTCTAGAGAGGTGTCTGTGAGCGGATGCAGTCATGATTGCTTAGCGATAGCTCTGAATTCATCTATGATCTGGAAGGCAGGGATATTACCCAAGATTCTGTATCTCTGCTCATGCTGGTTTTGCAGGGCCACGCTTTGAAGAGAAGCATCTAGAATGCATTCCAGGCCGGGTGGAGTAAAGCGGGAGCAGTGAGTTAAGGCTTGCACCGCCAGGTTCCTCCCTTCTCACGGGTTCTTTTCCAATGTGGCTCCTTAACTTTCTGGGATGGATTCAGTCACTGGTGGAATCCTGACAACCCCAACCCATCCCTCCATCACCAAAATTAGGTGAGATGCTTTGAAAAATTCTCATTTAAAATGGGATTTTAAAATAATCTCTTTAGGTACTTGAAAATCTGCTCGAATTCCGGGATTTCCTTTCCTTTCCCAATTTTGAGTCTGTGATTGTTGCTTCACTTACACTTTATTTATTTATTGAGGCACAGTCTCATGCAGCCTAGACTAGCCCTAATCTCACTATATAACTGAAGGTGATCTTGAACTTTTCTGATCCTCCTGCCTTCATCTCCCCAGTGCTGGAATAACAGGTGTGCACCACCACACCTGGTTTATGCAGTGCTGTGGATAAAACCCAGGGGCTTGTGTATGTAAGGCAAGCACTCTACCAACCCGGCTACACCCCCGGTCCTATTTGTGTTTTGAAAATTAGCATACAAAGCAATGTGCTTCATTATGGTATTTTCATGCATACTTTCATTCATTGCTATTTCTCCCCTCATTCCTCCTCCCCCGAGCTTGCCCTCTCTGCTAGGTTAGTCCCATTGTCCCCTCATTCCGCTTCCATATGTGAGATCTACTCTGTTCCCCTTTCCTTACTCATTCTGGAAGACCTTTCTCCTAGAGGAGATCCTCTCTCTCTCTCTCTCTCTCTCTCTCTCTCTCTCTCTCTCTCTCTCTCTCTCTCTCTCTCTCTCTCTCTCTCACACACACACACACACACACACACACACATACACACACACACACCACATACATGAAAGTCAGAAAGTTTCAGATTTTGTAGAATTTGAGATTTTAGATATTTGGATTCAGGATATTGAAACTGTAGTGGACATTTAATTATTATTGTCTTGATTTTCAAAAGAAAAAACACCCCACATTTGTTTTAGATTTGATTCCTTTTTGTTACTTTATTAATTTCATCCTTTAAATTTTATTTTTCAAGGTATTGAATTTATACAATATCTCAATTTGATTTTACCCGGAATCTGTCCTATTGTCTTCAAGGTGGATTTTTAAAATGTTTTATTAGCTTACATTATTAATGCATAATAATTAATTTCATCATGACATTTTCATACACATTTATCATGTATTTTTCTTATATTCACTGTCCATTACGGGCTCTTGCCCCCTTGCATTCCTACTGATTCCCTTTTTTGTGCCAAA